TACTTCAGTATTCCCCGCGATGGCTCGGAGAACTCGGACCCTAGAATGCTGGTCATCAGTGATTTGGATGAGCCTTTCCTTCCCATCCCGGGCGATCTTTTGGTGACCCTGAGCGAGTGCCGTGAGAACATCGAAATCTTCCTCGATAAGCTGCAGGAAATGTTTCAGAACACCCAGAGCAACGCCTGCGCCATGGGATCCGCTCTGCGTGCTGGTTACAAGCTGATCTCCCCCGTGGGAGGCAAGATGACCGTGCTCAGCTCCTCTCTGCCCAACATTGGCCATGGCTCGTTGACCATGAGAGAAGACAAGAAGGTCCTCGGCACCAGCAAAGAGAGCAGTCTACTGCAGACGGCGAACAGCTTCTACAAGAGCTTCGCTGTCGAGTGCTCTAAGGCGCAGGTCTCTGTTGACATGTTCTTGTTCTCTTCACAGTACCAAGACGTTGCGTCTCTCAGTAACCTGCCCCGCTACACCGGTGGTCAGACTTACTTCTACCCCGGATGGAACGCCGCTCGTGGGGAGGATGCGATCAAGTTCGCTCGTGAATTCTCCGACTACCTTTCTTCGGAGATTGGTCTGGAGGCTGTGCTCCGTGTCCGCGCTACGACCGGTCTGCGCATGAACACCTTCTACGGCAACTTTTTCAACCGCAGTTCCGACCTGTGTGCCTTCCCTGCATTCCCGCGTGACCAAGCTTATGTCGTCGAAGTGGCGATTGACGAGACTGTCACGAAACCCGTTGTCTGCTTGCAGACGGCGGTTCTGCACACTACATGCAACGGCGAGCGGAGAATCCGGGTGTTGACTCTGGCGCTCCCTACGACGCAGAACCTGGCTGATGTCTACGCTTCGGCCGATCAACAAGCTGTTGCTACTTACTTCAGTCACAAGGCTGTTGAGCGGGCACTGAGCAGCGGGCTGGAGCCTGCCCGCGAGGCTCTGCAGACCAAGGCCGTCGAACTGCTGTCGACCTACCGGAAGGAATTGGCTGGAGGTAGTGTCAGCGGCGGTGGTCTTCAGTTCCCTGCCAACCTGAGAGGCTTGCCAGTCCTCTTCCTTGCCATGATCAAAAACGTAAGTCCTGCTCTTAGGTTCGCATGTTCAACCGTATTTGCTAACACCATTTAGCTTGGTCTTCGCAAATCCGCGCAAATACCCACCGACATGCGCTCTGCTGCCCTTTGCTTGCTTTCGACGCTCCCCCTTCCCCTCCTCATGCAGTACATCTACCCTAAGATGTACTCTCTTCACGACATGCCCGACACTGCTGGATTGCCCGATGAGCAGACCGGCGAGATCCTTCTTCCTCCCCCGATCAACCTGTCATCCGAGCGCATTGTTCCCTATGGTCTCTACCTCATCGATGACGGCCAGACGCAGTTCCTGTGGGTTGGACGCGATGCGGTGCCCCAGCTGATCGAAGATGTCTTTGGCCTGCAAGACAAGTCGCAACTCCGCGTGGGCAAGCAGAACCTGCCGGATGTGGACAATGAGTTCAACCAGCGGGTGCGGGCGGTGATCGAGAAGAGCCGGGATCACCGGTCGAAGGACGTCGGCAGCATTGTGGTGCCACACCTGTATGTGGTGAAGGAGGATGGAGAGCCTGGACTCCGCTTATGGGCGCAGACCATGCTGGTTGAGGACCGTGCTGACCAGAGCGTCAGCCTGGTGCAGTGGATGGGCTCGCTGCGGGAAAAGGTTTGATCACCCCATTTTATTTTCCCCCCATAAGCGCTCTACCTCTGCCGGCATTGGACACCTCGTTTTCACATACTTGGGAGTCAGATCGGGCTGACGAGCTTGAACACGCCTACAGGTTGTTCAGTAATGATAAAGCTTCTTTTTTCGAATTATCCTTGTTCCATTTTCCTTTGTTTTTGGTAAATTATATGGAAGAAATTCCACCCATACATTCCCCATGGATTCTGTTGTCTGTTTGGCGATGTTGTAACTTATTCCGGCTGTTGGTTCAATCAATGGGAAGAAACGAAAAAAATGGACGGCCAAAACCATTTAGTCCGTGGTCCTCTCTATTTACTAGTACTGAGTACTGCGGAGTAGTCTAAGTATAATACCTTATACCTTAAACCCCGCGCTTCTCTTCATAGAATATAAAAGCCTATATAGTCTATACATAGTCAGTAATAGTCTTACCACCATCCATCGGCAATGGCCATCTCATTCCCATTCCGAAATATACCCACCCACATGTGCCATCACCACACCGACACAGGGCACAGACTTACTTACTACCCTTCCCGTCCATACACAGTAAGTAAGTAGTTGTCTCCACTCCCTCTCCTCTTAGTTAAGTAGTAGATAGATTCTCCTTCCCGTGCTAAAAAATAAAAAATAGAAAAAACAAGGTTTCCCCAATCACTGCACATAAAAAACTAAGTTACTACTACGGAGTAGACTACTACTTATGAGTCTGTGACAAGACCTGCACCATAAACTTTAGATCACACAGGGCAGGGTTGGACGAATCGGGTGGGGAGAATGGACACTTGCTTGCCGCGGAAAGGGCACGAAGTACGAGTTGTAGGGAAAATGTGACGAGAATTTAGTAGACTAGTCTTATGTGATGAGATGAAGTAAAGTAGCGTAGCGTAGCGTAGTGTAATTTGATTGGATTGATTGATGGGGTATGTACTGGGACCCCCCCCCCCCCCTCCGTGGTTAAATTTATCTGTGCGGGAAAGAAACCAGGTAGGTAGGTAGATAGTCAGTTAGTGTAAAGGAATGTGATTAGCAGACAGAGTGTGAGGGAGAGAGAGTTGGTTGGAGCTGGTGGGGGGAGGAGGACAGAGTGTGAAACTGAGGGATGGGTTGGGTTGCGGTTTTGGCGCCGTGGCGGTAAGTAGTATCTGACTGTTTAGGTGTTGTCTCGTCTGGGCGGAGAAAAAGGCGTTGAAACACTGGTCGAGACGTAGCCTCAGAAGTTAGAGGAGGGGGGGAGGGGCTCATTCTAGGGTGTGGGTGATTGACGGCCACGTTTAAGATGACAGGATGTAAGGAGGGGACGGGGTTGATCGACTGTGAGGCTGTTGCGAGTGACGGGTCTGTCTTGTCTCCTACTGTATGGAGTAAGTTGGTGAGTTGTACGGAGTTGCTCATTTTGATTTCTTGCTTGGATGAGAGTAAGTAGTAGTGGTAGTCATAGTTAGTATGGGGTTAGTTTGGGTAGAAGGAGGGGGCCAGAAATGGTATGAGATGGATCAAAACTAAGGTAAGATGAAGAGTTGAGGGACGGGTTTGGGATTGATGGGAAATTTGTGTGAATAGATTATTGAGTTTGGGACTGAATTGTATATGGTGTATAGTTTAATTTATAGTCAATCAAGGTAGATGTCTTTTATAAAAGTTGATGATAGTCTAGATGGTGATGATGGAGATGATGTTCCTGGTGGAACACTGGATTAGGCATGCGTACCGTACCGTAACCAAATAGTTCTGTTTTAACCAGTTGGTCTGTCTCGCTGCCAGTTGCTTCAGGCCATCTCGCCTCCAACTGGATAAGATGGAATTTCCCTTAACTTTCGGACTTTCCCACTGGTGGCTGTTTGTTGGTGGTCATAGTTACTACTAGTAGTAGGTGGTTTTCTCCATTGTTGGTTCAAGTGCTATATTTATCAATTTCAACTTCCCCCCCCTGGCCCTTCAAACTTCCCTAAACTACAGCTTGTGGCTTATCTGCTATCGAGTGTCGTTCCTTGGGTCGGTGCCTTCTATCGATAACTTGCTCCACGTTTTCCGGGTCTTCTTTGGAGCATCCCGAGATTTGGTAGGCTCTCTCTCTCTCTCTCACTCCCCCTCATCTGTGTTGCGTCTTCAAAGAAGTGAGAGGCCACGCATTCACTGCGCAAGAACACTTGTTCCCTCTCTCTCTCTCTCTATTAATCTATTGTAGCTATTGTTGTCAAGTTCCTGTTTGTTACTCATCTCCCTCATCCTCTTTCTTCTTTCATCTCTCTGTCCCTCTCTCTTCATCCTCTTCATCCAGCCCCACCCCACTCTGGCCGATCCGCGCCCGGTTTATTAACTTCCAACTACGTACGCTAGTCTCCTCATTGCTTCCTACTACTGCCTTCACTATTGCTCTGTGTCTCTCCATCCCCTCTCCACATCCCCTCGAACTGCTCCTGCTGTCTTGTTCTCCCTCCTCCTGCGCTTACTCTCTTCTGTGTTCCCCCCCCTCTCCGATCTGCCCCTGGTGTGTTTCCACTGCCTATTCGAGAAAGCTCAAAGAACCCTTTGAAACTGACTCGCGGTTGCATAGCGCAAGCTACGATACAACGGAATTAAAAATAGAACGGAACTGTGAAACGCCAGACGGAGTGTGAAAATAGCTCCTCAACATTGGTAAGTTCATCTCCTTTTCAGCGACATCTTGCCTCTTGACCTGCGTATTACAAAAGGTTCTCTCCGCTCGTGTTGGATCGGTTCATTGACATCACTCAGTTCCTTTTTAGGTCATCACATACTGTACATCCACCGCACGTCCTTGCTGAGCGGCTCACCCAGTCTGCCTCACGACCAATCGCTACTGGTTCCCGATTCTACATTGAATCCCTCACATCCCGAACGTACAGGCGCCTCCGAAACTCCTGGCGGCTACTTGCGGGTCCTCCGTGGTTTCGATTGCAGACGCGCTGTACCCCGCTTCCGATCCTTGACAGCTCCCGAACGACTGTCACTCGTCTACCACTCTCGCCCTAGCATGCGCATTGGCGGTTATTAGCCTCCCACGATAACCAACTTCAATCGAGAGCCCTCCTGTAAGCGCTAGCCTGGTGTCTGTTGCTTGAACATGTGGTGGGTCGCGGTGTTACTCAATAGGCCATCTTGTTGCTGCATGTGACGGGCCTACCTTGTCGCTTCAGAGGGTGTCATGAGATGTGATGAGATGGTATAATGAGAACACGGCCCAACACTACTGATTGCAGCATATACGCTCATCGACTTCGACTGACACTTGATAGTACACAGCCGCAAACATGGTGCAGCAAATGCCTCCTCAAGGGGGGTCGCGCAAGATCTCTTTCAACGTTTCCGACCAGTATGAGATCCAGGATGTTATTGGTGAGGGAGCTTACGGTGTCGTTTGGTGAGTTGCTCACATGTAAATGATGGCGGCGTACTAATGAACCCAAGCTCTGCTATTCACAAGCCCTCTGGCCAGAAGGTCGCCATCAAGAAGATCACTCCCTTCGACCACTCGATGTTCTGCTTGCGGACTCTGCGTGAGATGAAGCTGCTGCGCTACTTCAACCACGAGAACATCATCTCCATTCTGGATATCCAGAGGCCTCGGAACTATGAGAGCTTCAACGAGGTGTATCTGATTCAGGTAACACTCATTGCTGATGATCAGAGAATATGGAACTGACGGATCTAGGAACTCATGGAGACGGATATGCACCGGGTCATTCGTACCCAGGACCTCTCCGATGACCACTGCCAATACTTCATCTACCAGACTTTGCGTGCGCTCAAGGCCATGCACTCCGCCAACGTCCTCCACCGTGATCTCAAGCCCTCCAACCTTCTCCTCAACGCAAACTGCGACCTCAAAGTCTGTGACTTTGGTCTGGCCCGGTCAGCCGCATCGACCGACGACAACTCTGGGTTCATGACGGAATACGTCGCGACGCGTTGGTATCGTGCCCCAGAGATTATGTTGACGTTCAAAGAATACACCAAGGCGATCGATGTCTGGAGTGTCGGCTGTATTCTGGCAGAAATGCTGAGTGGAAAGCCGCTGTTCCCCGGAAAAGACTACCACCACCAACTGACTCTGATTCTTGATGTCCTTGGCACACCAACCATGGAGGACTACTACGGCATCAAGTCTCGTCGGGCCCGGGAGTACATTCGCTCACTGCCCTTCAAGAAGAAGATCCCCTTCCGCGCAATGTTCCCCAAGAGCAACGAGTTGGCGCTTGACCTTCTGGAGAAGCTCCTGGCGTTCAACCCTGCGAAGCGTATCACTGTCGAGGAGGCGTTGCGTCATCCGTACCTGGAGCCCTACCATGACCCCGATGACGAGCCCACGGCGCCCCCGATTCCCGAAGGCTTCTTTGATTTCGACAAGAACAAGGATGCACTCAGCAAGGAGCAATTGAAGCGTGAGTAATACCGCCTACATTGGAGAGTCTTATTACTAACATGCGCAGTCCTGATCTACGAGGAGATTATGCGGTAAAGGCTTCACGAGTCGATGAATGCAATTGATATACCACCCGACACGGAACAAAGGCAGAGCCTGACATGATGGACGGAGTTGGCTTAGCACATACCCATGATGCATAGAGAACAGGCCGCAGCAGCGCGTGCCCTGTACGCAGTAATATGTCGAATAGCCCATATGTGAGGGAGTCATGACTGCAGCATCTCATTATTATTGTTGATGTTGATGTGGAAGCGGCGTGCAGTTTCAGCGATAGTCCAGCTTGAATATACATTACGTTAGCGATTGATAGAGTGGTATGAACTTCTTAAGCTAAGGGTATATACACATCACAGGTATCTTACACCACCAACACCCACCCCCCCCAATATTCTAAGAGGAAGTCTTCATCTCCCTCATAAACCTCTCAATCCCCTCCCCCACCCCCTCAGGACTCGGCCTCTCCGCACAAACATCCGCCTCGAACCCAAACTCCCTCCTCAAATAATCCCTCGTCGTCGGCCCAATCGTCGCAACAAAGAACCTCCTCCTCTCCCCATCCCCATCCACCTTCCCCCAACCACAACCACTACCATCCTCATTACCCAAATACCCCAACCCCCTCAACATCCCCTCACACCCCGTCGGCGAAAACACCACCGTCCACACCACCCTCCCTTTCCCCTCCTCCCCCTCCTCCCCAGTATTATCATTATTCCTCATAACCTCCCTCTCCCTCTCAACCACCCCCCTAAAACTCTCCTCAAACCCCTCCATCACCCCCGTCTCATACACAACCACCTCATCCACACCAACATACTCCCCGGGAGGGAGATCAGGATTTGTTAGTGTCCGCGGGATAATATCCCGTCGTTGTTCGCCGACGAGGAAAAGTAACGGTGGCTTGTATACATCATCCCCATTGGGATTTGATGATGACGACGACGTCGTAGTATAAAGAGAATTATAGTGTTCGAGAATATACTTCGCTAACGCCTCTCCATTCCCTGTATCTGCGCCGTGGATGCTCGCGTGCGGTAGGTATTTGTCAACGATGGTCGTGAGGGAGCGGGATGTTGCGGGTCCGACGGTGTAGATGGGGAGGTTTTGGGAGGAGGTTTTTAATGTGGTTAGTGCTGAGATGTCTGCTTCTTGTTAGTCTCTGTGTGATTGTTGATTTTGTATGGTGTGGTAGTGGTGGGGTAAATTACCATCGTCAAGTTCAGCAAGGACTCTCCCGAAGCCTTCGACTGCGCGCTGGCTGGTGAAGATTAAGCCGCCGTATTTTCGGTCATTATTCTTCTGAGAAGGGAGTAATTGGCCGGATGTGAAGAGCTCGCGGATGGAGCGTAGTCTCTCGGTGTGGAAGTTGTGTGAGAGGACTGGGATGAAGGTGGGTGTGTAGTTGCTGGTGGGGTGGTGGAAGTAGTCGGAGTAGTTGTCGTGCGGGGTGGATTTGGTTTTGAGGAGGATTATGGGAGGTTTGTTGGTATTTTCTGGGGAGGTCATTGTGTTGATTTGTATTCAATTGGGGGTGTGGTGGTGTGGTTGTGGTGGTGGACGAGGATGAGATTGAGGGTTGTTGTTGTTGTTGTTGTTGTGGTGGTGAAGTGGGATGGACGGATGCGGAGATGCCGCGGCTATTCTTCTACTGAGTAATACAACTACACTGTGACGGAACAAACGAAATTTGGGTCTAGTAGGTTATGTACACTAAAAAAAACAGACTACTGGTCGTCCAGAACGTGCAGGTACTTCTTCTCCTCCTGTCTCTCGCGCTCCGTGGCCGGAGGGAGATCGTAGTACGAGGCGCTACGGTAGCCCAGCTGCATATTGTTAGTTTCTGAGAGGATTGATTTAGTTAAGGGTTGCTTACCAGGTAGTGGAAGGTCAGAGTGCTGAGGTCGACAGGCTCAATGTCGAGATCCTTGAACGTCTTGGCGTTGGGGTCGATCACCTGGTCGATGAACTCACGCTCCACCTCGTCGGCGGAGATGGTGGGCCACCAGAGGTACTTGTTCAGGTAGTAAGCCAGAGGCTTGAGGATGGCCTTGGGCACGTTGACGTGACGGCGGTGCTTGACAATTTCGCGGTCGACCAGCTCGGCAATCTCGGCGGTGGAGTAGTTCTTGGGGCCGTACAGCTCGAAGGTCTGACCGACGGTGCTGTCGTCGTGCAGCATGCGCTCCAGAGCAGTACCGACATCAATGGCCTATGCATGTTAGCTCAATCCCAACAAAGTCAACCTCTTAACATACGTGAACGGGCCAGTAGCGCTCCTGCATGTGGTTCGATGTGAGGAGGTTGGTCACACGAGCGAGCTTGTGGAGGAGGTTGTCCTCGAAACCGAACATGGGCGCAGGGCGGACGATGGTGGTCTCGGGGTAGATGTTGCGGACGATCTCCTCACCCCAGGCCTGCGACAATCAGTATGAAAGTAACTATGGCGGATCGATCCACGGACCTTGGTCGCAAAGTACTCGGAAGGAGAGTCCCGGCTGGCGTTGTAGGAAGAGACGTGGATGAAGCGGTCAACGTCGTACTTGGCAACAGCCTCAACGATGCGCTCCGTACCGTCGACGTGGACGTCAGTGTAGGAGAAGTTCCTGCCCAATTATTAGCAGCGCGTCGCTTGTCTCGTGCCCATGGATCACTGACTTGGTGGGATATTGACGACCGACAAGGTTGTAGACAACATCGGAATGGCGCACAGCCTCCTCGATGGACTGGGTGTTGCGCAAGTCGTATTCCTAGACCACGATTAGTGGGCCAAGCCAAACCACCCAACTTCTGACGGATCATACAATGAAGTTGACACGGCCAAGGTCACCAGTGACCTTCAAGTGTCTCTTCGTCATCTCCTCACGATAAGGGACGACAACGGTGCATCCCTGCGTAGCTGGAAGGCGTCAATTCCTGTGCTCCCTCCCAACCAATTGACCAACATACCGAGCTTGTTGACGATGTAACGACCGAGGAAACCAGTAGCACCGAAGACGGTCGCGGTGTGACCTAGAGTAGAGCAATTTTAGCCATCTGGTAGCGTGAGACCGGCGCGGCAGAAGAGGGATATGTACCTCCCAAAGAGGACCTGTAGCAAAGACTAGTTAGCATCGCGGAGCTCCATCACAACGGCAATGCGCCTTACCGGCCACCCTGGACCTTCAGAATCGGCTTTCCAGTTCTAGTGATCGCGACATCCTGAAGATTCCGGCGCTGGATCTGGAATCGGATCTTGGGGGCGGGGACAAATGCCCTGGCGCCCATGGCGGAATTGACGGCCCGGGACGTCTGCATGGTCTCAATTCTGGATATGAAACGGACGAGACCACCGAACTGCGTCCGGATCGGTGTTTCAATGGACAATGGTGAGGAGAGGGGAGAGAGCGTAGCTCGACGTCAGGACTTGTACTGCAGCTGGTCGAAAGTCGTGGTCCCGAATATCCTGGAGTTGGCACGGGACTTGGCGCTAGTCCTTTTTCGGACAGCACCCTCGACCTTTCAATTGTCTGCCAACTCTTTCCTACTTGTCCTTCAGACAATTGTGTGATTGATTAAGTATCTAGACGAATGAATCTTTCAGCCATCAAAATCTACATACACATCTAGCTATGGAGGCGTGGTTATGGCCGTCACTGCATTTCACACCGGATCGCGTCTGACTATTCGAAGCCTCTGATTGGTTGCTAGGCGCTCATCATCGTCATGTCGAGATCCAAATGAACCTACCACTAACAACCAAGAACTACAAAGTCAATTGCTGCAGAACCTGTGGACTATGAACATCGCATTACTGCTGAACGGACATGAGGCTTGTCATATCGCATTTATAAGCTAATCACCAAAGCATAAGCAACCTATTCCTTTGCTATCACGCACGCTGCCCACGAGCAATGAATATGGTCTTCAGATGCTCTTTCCCATCCTTGCGGAATACAACCTGCTCCTTCGAAATATCATATTTGAAGCCCGTCCCAAGTCCTGCTTCTTCGTACAGCTGCTTCATTTGATCCATGGTGAAGCCGTGGCTTTTGACCGTATGCGCAGCATCGCCAAAGCCATGCTCAACATTGTGACAATGGCCATGGTGGTGATCGTCTGGCACAATGTCGACAATTACGCACACACCACCTTTCTTCAGACGCTCTCCAAAGCGGGCCATGGCTAACTCTGGTCTCTCGAAGTGGTGAAGGGCCATGCTGACAACCACGAGATCAAAGCCAAAGTACTCGGGCCCTGAGAGCTCTGCCGGAGCAGACTCAGCCAAAAGGTCACCCTTGAGTGCGACCATCTTGTCTTCATAGCCCGCTTCTTTGGCATTGTTGTTGTACTCGCTAATCATATTATCCGAAACGTCAAGTCCAACGATCTTCGAGACATAAGGTGCCAACGTCTATGAAATTAACTCGCGGTTCATGACCATGCTACTTCAATAGCAATGCGAACGAGACATAGTAACTTACCAAAGAAACAGGCCCAGTCCCACATGCATACTCTAACATCTTGATATCTTTCCCCTTTCCAGCCTCAGTGTCGATCCATGCATCATTGATCCAAGGACGGTGACTGTCCACCAGTCTGCAAATGGATTCCAGGATACTTTTGAAGTCGCTGGTGTAGGACTTGGCCAGCTTGCTGTAAAGTATAAGACAATATCATCAAGCAAAGAAAAGGTGGTGTGCACATACTCAAAGTACTGACGGTTCCTCTCTGTGTGCTCTGCCATGTCTAGGTAGAGATTCGGCTTAGGTATCAGAGTATAGGTATTTATAAATGATTTATATGATCAATTGCTATTGGGAAAAGATCTTGGGATGGCTACGAGTGAGGAGGAAGGTGGACGTAGAGAGCCATATTTATAGCTTGCTTGACCATGGCTGAGCAGACTGACCAGAAGCTTACAGTAGGCAAGTTCGGAGACATATCGGATACTTCTTGTAAACCCTCCAATGTCGCCGCCAAGTTGATCCCTAAAGCGGATTAGGCACCTTCAGCTAATACGCTCACAGAAGGACCAGCAATTTCTGCCCAACGAATGAATGAATGAATGGATACGCTAGTTCTCACCCTAAATGAAGCCGGATAAGTTGCGATAACTATACTGCAGTAGACGGTAGATGATGTAGGATGTCATGTGCCTCACCGCCCGAGCTCGACGGCGCTGCATCACGACCAGCTCCGCTTCCACTTCAGATCAGCTTCCCTGCCTCCATCCTCCCCCCATTACGTCCGTTCTCCTTCTCCCTCCTCCCGGTCTTTCATCCATCTTATCCTAGACCTCATACCGTATTTCCTAATCCTCCTCCAACATGGAGAACCAAAGGATCTCCGATTTCCTCGCCGACCAGCTGCAGCAAGCTCCCGAGCAATGCCAGGCCTACTTCCTGAGCTTCGAAGATTACTGGGAACGCAAACTATGGCATCAGCTTACGGATTCTTTGATTGAATTCTTCCGTCTACCAGAGAGCGCTGCCCAGCGACTACCGATATTCAAGAGTTTCGTCCTCAGCTTCGCCGACAGAATCAATCAGCTGAAGTTCGTCTCGCTGGGGTTGATGGCGTCAACAGAATGCTCAAGTTCGTATTCCAGCTAATCGCTACTTGGATTTTCGCAACCCAAAGGCATCGCTAACACTATTGCTATCAGATGACCAAGAACGCCTCACCTTCCTCACATCGCTGGCAGACAAAGTCAACAAGCCCGAGTCACAAGATGCTTACATCTACGCCCTCGCGGATGTCGCCAACGTCAAGCAACGGCTACAAGACCTGAACGGTGCGCAGAAGGACCTGGAGACATGCCAGAAAGTGCTAGACACGTTCGACTCCGTTGAGACTGTGGTGCACGCATCCTTCTACAAAGTCAACGCGGACTACTACCACGTATGTTCCCCCCGCACCCGCCACCTAGACCTCACTAACCCTTCTACCCACATCCACAGGCCAAACAAGAATTCGCCTCCTTCTACAAGAACGCCCTCCTCTACCTCGCCTGCATCAACCTCGAGGATCTCAGTGAAGCCGAGCGCGTCTCCCGCGCATACAACCTTAGCGTGGCCGCGCTCGTCTCCGACACTATCTACAACTTCGGTGAACTCCTCCTGCACCCGATCCTGGACTCTCTCACCGAGACGCCGCACAGCTGGCTGCGCGAGCTCCTGTTCGCCTTCAACCGCGGCGACCTGACCGCCTACGACGTCCTCGCCGGAAACATCTCCAAGAACCAGCTGCTCGAGCAACACCGCATTTTCCTGTACCAGAAGATCTCCCTGTCCGCGCTGACGGAGATGGTCTTCCGTCGCCCCCCGCACGACCGCAACCTGACTTTCTCGTCCATCTCCGCCGAAACAAAGGTCAAGCCCCAGGAGATCGAGCACCTGATCATGAAGGCCTTGTCGCTGGGTCTGCTCAAGGGTGCCATTGATCAGGTGGCCCAGGTGGCCCAGATCAACTGGGTGCAGCCGAAGGTTCTGGATATGAAGCAGATTGAGGGCATGCGGAACCGTCTGAAGGATTGGGATGCTGGTGTCAACCAGCTGGGTCACTGGATCGAGGGCGTTGGAAAGGATGTGTGGGCTGCATAGGTCCCATTTTCTATCTCTTTTATATCGTCTTCTGTTCCTTATGATTAGTCCTGTCTGATGGGTAAAAGACTTACCATGCATGTATGTACGAACAAGTACTAGAACCTCATTATAATTGAGATCTACGAAGCCCTCTCTAGCTCTCTTTACACTCACATCCACAATAACATCTGATATGATGTAACTTTCAACCTATACATACATAAATGCATGCCTATTATAATACAGAAACAGAAAAAGAAACAACGAACTATTGATCTATCCATCCTTGCCTCCACCTACGTAAGACTTCTTCTACCCATCAGTCATGTATTGAAGCCCCTGGTCCGACTCCCCACAACATAAACTCAACTTATTCTCATTCGATCAAGACGAAAACAACGAGAACCCCACCAACGCACACCCGGCCACCCAAGCAGGCCACCAAACACACCAAACAACGACCTGCGTCCATACGCCCCAGACATCCCACCCGAAAGCGGCTTGCGTCAAGACCGTCTCGACATCAGCGCCGAAGTACCAGCACGCTGCGAGCAGAACGACAGGCGGGGAAAGCACATTCAATAGTGCCAAAGCGAGCGTACTGAGGATGTATCTGAGGGTACGGGAGGTGGTTTGCGGGTTGATGCGGTGGATGAAGCTTAGCGGGGCGCAGAGGAGACCGACCATGAAGGAGAGAGAGAAGTTGAGGGTTGCGAGGGTGGAGAGGAAGAGGCCGAGGATGAGGAGGGAGAAGGATTTAATGAGGTGGTATTGTTGTGGGTGGGGGGTTAGGGTGTGGAATAGGGTGGCGGAGAGGAGGAGGGGGAGGATGAAGTTGGCGAGGATGCTGGTGTAGGTTGCTGTTGGGTAGTACTGCGTTGGTTGTTAGAAATGAGTTTGGGTTGTCATAGGGGAGGGGTGAAGGGATACGGACCTGGTGGGGGATGTTGTTGAAGATGTAGAGGGGGATTAGACCCAGGAGATGGAGGCTGACGACGAGAGTGAGCGGGAGGGCCAGTTGACGTTCTATGATGTTGTTACTGGTGTCTGCTTTCGCGGGTGGTGCTTGTTTGTCGTCGTGCTTCTCGGTAGCTGTGGTTGCAACTTGTTCTTTCGTGGGCTTCGAGGCTTGCTGCGAGCCAGGGTAGTAGCCTGTCCGGAGCCAGAGAGCGATTGCCATAATGGTGAAGTTACCGGCAATCAACATCGCGCTAGGGAGATATGTGCCGATGCTGACGAACCGGTTGGTCTGCATGAGAAGATAGAAGAAGAAACTCTGGTGCAGGTGCTCGAGGAGGTTGTTCAAGCTGCGGCAGAGACTCTCAACTGTGCGGCCCAGTGCCATCTCATCTTGCCAGCCTTCGCCCTTCGTCTGGAGGGTGATAGCATCAATGTGATACGGCATGAAACTGCTGTGAGGACCCGTGGCATAGCCAAAGCCCTGCTTGACCATTCCTCTCATAATGGTCTGCAACCGCATCTCGTAACTATCATCGTGATCCCACATCTCCTGCAGATTGGTCCCGATGCCCATCTGCCCACCGGTAATAGATATAGCCGTGTTGAACAAATCCAAGTTGGGCAACTGGCCATTAACACCGTCATAGAGAATATGCAGAGACTCGAAGCGATGGTCAAACGGGTATTCAATCACCAAGCCTCCCTGCAAAGCACCGCTCTTCAAGGGAAGGGGCTGCACAAACGCCGGCTGCATATCATGGTATGCGTCAATCCACGCCTGAGTGCCTGCCTTACTGTCCGGCGGAAACAAGAAAATAATATCCTTCGACCACAGTGACCACCCTGTTCTCCATCCAATTAGCAAACCATACCACATCTCATAACCACTGACAAAGAAAGCCACCCACGCTTAAAGTATCTCGCCAACGTAAGCGCAAGCGTGGCGCCATTCAAATTTAGCTCATCCTCCACGGTATTCCATGCCGCCACGAGCACAATAGCTTCGGTGGCATCTCCTCGCGGCGCCTGAATAATCGCGTAGACATTCTGTCCCTGATGCGTAATCCCTGACGACGTGTATTCGTAGTTTTGCGTGGCGACTTTCAATCCGGTAGCTTTCAATATCGATTGAATCTTATCCGACACACTAAGCAGCATTATATGTCCAGTCAGCCAATCGAATTTAAATCGTACACCCATTCGCGGCGGTGCGGAGCTCCAGCAACATACGCAGGAGTAAAGGCATCATTCCATGCTTCCTGTCCCTCGGCAGTCTGCCCTTCAAGTACCCCCTCTAGCTCCTTCTTGTATCCGCGGAAGATGTGCTGCTCGCTACCGGAGAAATAGGCGTGGACTTGACCCGGCAGGAGCGCGTTCTCGGAGATGTAGGTCTGTCGGGAGTAATCGTTGAGGGGGAGTAGGAGGAGCCAAACAACGCCGGCGACGATGCAGATGAAGGAGAGGATGTGCGGTAAGTGCACGAAGAGGAAGTGAGGGTTACTCCGCACTTTGCGGATCGCAGCTGTTATGAATACATGTCAGCGTGGTCTGGTCTCGTTCGAGGTGTCCTTCGCGACAATCCGGGGTAAGGTGGAGGGTGAGTAGCATGGAGCTGTAGGGGAGGCAAAGGCAAAAAGGGGGCAACGAGTTTCGTAGATAGAGCGTTAAAGTAGAACTCAATTTGTATCTTACATTTCAAGGCCATGAGATCTGAAGCATTAGGGAACCAAATCCCATGGTGATGGTGGTGCTTGATCGGAGCAAGATGTCCACCGCCGCTACGGAGCACTAATCGATCTGCCCGCAAATTTACGTCAACCGCTATAGACCACCTGCACAACTTCCCCTAGATTCAGTATTATTTGCTTTCCCCGCAATATTGCGAGTCACTATTGAATGCCGTATAATGCTAATTAAATATGCACAAGAATGTATCCACTTAGGTATAGCGTTAGTTCTTAGTCCTCACGGACCAAGGCGTTGCGATGAGCCGAGGAAGCTCATCGGGGTTCCCCTTTCTCCGCCGGTGGTAGTCGTGGGAAGGACTCCATAACGGCCGTACGTCTTCTGATCCACTGACACGTAGTGTGGCAGTCTTCCGAGCAAATTGAGCTTGCCCTCAATCCATCTCAGAACCTTCTCCGGGGGAACGAAAATCTTGAGGACCCCAAGGCCGACTGTCGAGCGGATTAGCTGTGAATCGAGGTCTACAGAAGAACAATTACTTACGCAAGTATCCGACCAGGATAGCGCATAGATGGCCAAGGAAGCTGGTGTTCGGCACAAGAATCGAGACAAGAGCGCATGCGAATAGGGGCGACGTCCACGTGGGAATTTTAGTCGACCCGAGACTAAAGCCGCATTAGTCGGGAACTGAGACAAAGACTGGTGCTCGAACATACCTAAAGTAGGGGTTTGATTTGAAGGTCCGAATGGCCTCGGAGCCCAGGAGAAGGAAGACCCAGATACTGAAGACCCATTAGATACCGTCTCACAACCCGGCGATGCTACAGAGCACTCACCTTGAACCCACGACCGCAGTATTCCTATGCAAAACAAACTTCTCAATCAGAATATAAATGCCTGCAGGGAGCGTAGAAAGAGCTAAACGAGAAGCAAACATCCATTAGCACATTCGTCCAACCATCCTAGATCACGCCAAGGAGCAGACTTACGCCCAATGAACAGCGCAACGGCGGTCAATGTGCCATGCTCGGCCTCAAAGCGCTCCAACAAGGGCGTGAGCGCCAGTATATTCAAGAAGGCATGGAAGAATCCCAAGTGGATGAAAGGGTAGGTGTTAAGACGGTACACTGTCCTAAGAGTCAGAACCTGGCTGTACTTGCAAGCAAGGCCACGTGTGCCCGAAGAGACATACTAGTGCCGAATCCAACCTCCTCTGGTATCACGGAGCCCCATTGTACCACACTCCAGATTGTCTGAAGCTCCAGTAGCCAGAATAAAATAATCGCTAGAAGTACGAGCCGGGTGAAAAGCGGTAGGCGGAGGACGTAAGATCGTACCCTGGACGGGTTGAAGGGTAGCGGCGGAAGGGCAGCGGGAGTGGCCATGGTCGAGTGCGAATGGCCGTAGCAAGGCGATATGTCAAGGCAAGTTTATTACAACGATAGATGAAGGTCGATAGTATCGCAGGCGGAATATATCAATGAAGGCGCCGTGGAAGTCGAGGTGCGATGTACAACACGGGACTGGCGGAGTCTAGGGAGCGATGGAATAGCCACGAGGGCTTGGGAGTGTCTCGTGTGGTCGAGAGGAAGGAGCGGAACCGAGTAGGACAATTCGAGAGATGGTATTTCTGTTGGTTTTGATAAAGGACTTATGAACTTTGAATCATTGGCAATGACTAGTTTTGAAGCCACGGGATGCAATGCACGCAAACTCCGGTATACGCGACGGGAATTGAGCCAAGATGAAACAAGCCAACGGATGGAACTCAAACAGCGCAGAAAAATAGCGGGAAACAATAAGTTAGAAGATAAGGCCAGACAGCCCCAGGGAAGAGAGCAGAGGCACTACTTTAGTGCTTTCCGGGGGTGGCTGGATCTGGTTGCTCTTAAACTGAAAGCTGATCTGGTCTCGCCTTTTCTCTTCGCAGCGCGGATCCTCCGGGGTCACGTGGAAGATAACGCTTATCGTTCCTTTATGCTTTACAGAGTAACCAACTTCGTTGCTTAATTCTCTCTACACAGATTTCTTTCGCTTTGATAATTACCGAAATTATCATGCCTCATGCAGGTTCATTATCTAACTAATGGTAACATGTACAGAAGATGCCGCTAATTCTACCTCAAACATTTACAGGTACTGCTTGAACCAGTTGACGGCCTGGCAGAAAGCCTGCTCCTTGGACCACTTGAAGTGGGGGACGCTCAAGTCAGCGCGGACAGCGAAGCCGTGGGAGACACCGCTGTACAGGTTGATCTGCCAGGGCTTGCCAGTCTTGATGAGGGTCTCCTCAGACTCGTGACGGAGCTGGGTGGTGAAGATGTTGTCGATTTCTGTTCAGACCAAGTCAGCATGCGCGGCCTCGCACGCGTTGCGATGAAGGATTCCACTCACGAGCAGCAGCAATGGACAGAGGGCCCTGGATGGCACCAAGCTCCTCGTGGGTGACGAAAGAGGGGTGGGCGTTGAAACCAACGTCGACCTGGCCGTCCTTCATGAAGCGGCAGACGTACTAAAAACACGCCTCGTTAGCAAACAATCACATAATACCTTTCGGCGAGTCGATTTCAACTTACCTTGGCACCGAAGCAGTAACCGACAGCGCCGATGCGCTTAACGCCCAAGTCTCCCTTGATGTACTTGATGGTCGACTCGACGATGGGGTCGACGTTGGCGGGCTGGTGGTTGGGGAACCAGGCACCAATGTCGAACTTGCCGGACTCCATGGCGACGGGGTCGACGGCGTCGCCGCTGAAAAGGTCGGGGAGGACACAGAGGTATCCATTGTTGGCGAACTCATCGGCGAGGAGCTTGGCGTTGTTGAAGAGACCGAAGATGTCGCTTAGGAAGAGGACAGCCTTCTCGGGGGTCTTGTTGTCCTTGGGGTAGACAATGTAGGTGTCAACTGTTCGGGAAAGATGGTATTAGAAGAGGGTCATGGTTCTAGAAAGGTCCAGTCGGATAACATACTGTTGTTGATCTTCTTGACTTCACCGACAGGGGTGCCTTCGTGCTTGAAGCCCTGGGCACAGCAAGCTCCCGGAGGGTTAGAGGCCATGGTGACGGGTGGTTAGGGTTGGTGTATTGAAGGGATGTATAGAAAAAAGGTATATGGGATAGTTCTAATGACAAGGATGTCAAGGGTGGGAATGGCGACTAGATATATCCACAGGGCTTTGCCTCAAATGAGCAGCATCCACTGTGAACCGTCTTCTTTCCCCAAAAATGCCCCTCCCCACTTGCTGCCCCTCACCCCATTACTAATGCCTGAATGACACGGTAGGATGTCCGACACCGCCCAATCATTTCGCTAGACATAATATTCAATTGCGCATGAGCCTATGTTACAGCCATTCAAGCAAAGGATGTGAAGTCGGCTACCAATAATATCCATCGTGGAGGTTATCAGAATTCGCCGGGTGGCGGTTCGTGTACCTTGAAAACGCCCCCCGAGAGTCTGCCGACCGGCAATTCTCGCCGACGTCGGGCGTCACGCTTTTTGGTTAAGCTTCGTCAGGCGGCTCGGATTTTAGCGAGTTTTAACCCCGGGATCTACCTCCACCGTCTGTTCAAGTGTGAAGAAGGGATCTGCACCTAGAGGATTCAGGGGAATTAACTTGGGGCATTATAGCTTGGTCTTAGACGAAGTTCTGGGTACGATAGAGGTAAAAGTAAATGTAGCTAGTCCATATACAATGGTATATTATGGTTTCATTATGTCGGCAGAACTAGGAAAGTCATAAATCACCTCCTCATTATCCTTCCATCACAGGGATATCATTCATTAAACACGGGGGCACATCAGAGATAAATAGGGTCATAGACAAGTCCGTAGTATATACTGTGGTCGTATTATGATCGTCACCCGATTGTCCGAGCCGCGACACCAGGCCGAAGAAAATCAAATGTCGTAAGGGGTATAATGCTGTCAAAAGCAGATGGTGTTGGTTTTGGGCGAGTATGTTCGTTTTGTTTTGCGCATCTGTCCGGTGTCGTCACCAAACTCGTCTCGAGTCAGATGGAGCCCGGCAGAACGGAAGACATGAATAAAATCAGGCGGAGGCCGGGAACTGGAAAGGCGGCAGCGCAGGGCGCGACTCCCGCTTCACCGCCCAGGCCTTCAGGGCAATGGAGAGAATTTCGCACGACATGATGAAGGCGGTCAGTCCCATAGTAACTGTGAACACAAACATCGCGTCGAGGTCATAGTACTCCAGGGTTTGAATCACGCTCCGGGTCTATCCTAAGAGTTAGCCAACATGTCCTGCGTACGAATTGCGGTTCCTTTGCTGAACTTACACTAAGCATGAAGACCAAACCACCCGAGATCAAGCAGAAAGCAGCGACGATCTCGGTTGGCGGGCGAGATGGAAGGTAAGAGGTCGGGGGCTTGAGGTACATGATGACATAGGTCATACCACGAGCCAGTGCAAAGCCGACCAGGAGGTTACCCCACTGCTTGTGCACCATGGTCGATACCATACTATCCTGGTGGTGCGAACCCATCATCATACCCAACAGAAGGATGACCAACGCAGGCATGGGGTTCAGTGACACGCCCTGGGTGTCAGGAAGCTGCCATGCGGTATCTGTCGACGTGTGCGCACTCATATGAGAGGGATATTGGAGAACTGTGCTGTTCAACCAGCCTTTGACGCGCTTTGACTCGAAGAGCATACCACAGAGACCGCCGCCGAAGAACATGATGGAGATGGACACATGCTCAAGGTCAGTGGCAGTCCATGCGCCACCCCAACTGGTGAGATGCTCCAAGAAAACGTTGGTGACGCCGTAGAGGAAGATCACGAACGATTCAGTGAATTCACCTGTGGGGATCTTGGCCTTCCATTTACCGACAATGGGACTGGACGGCTTCACGTTCCAGGCCCAGCCCAGGTCGGCCCAGCAGCCAAGCATACGTCCCAGAGTCAGAAGACCATACCAGAAAAAGATACCTCCTTTGATAAAGTGCGCAAGACCATTGAAGACCTCCTTGCCTCTCTGCAAACGCGCGTTAGCGAAGATCAACGAAGTGGCCCATACTAGAAACTTACCATAAGACCACCATAAGTCACACCACCGGTCGCGATAGCCACGAAGCCAAACGGCAAGATGATTCTGTCGATAACAGCATAGATGGTCGAGATGATGCGAAGCGCCCGAGTAGAGACCATACGAGGTACACGACTGGCAAGGAATCGGTCGGCGAAGGGGATGCGGAACCAACCGCGCGGTTGGGACGAGTGTTCGGGGAGCGGATCCTCGGGCTTTTCGAAACCGTCATACTCATCCGAAGGCGACGCACAAGAAGGCGACCCAGGGCGACTGTGGAGGGAAGAGGAGTTTCTCTCCGTGCCCTGTCCACTGTCGCGCGACCAGCGGTACGAATGGCGGATACCAGAGTACATCTGGGGGCTCTCCATCTCATCGGTAGAAACGGGAAGAAACGCTGCCCGTTCATAAGAAGTCGACTCCGACTCGCCTCTGCCGGCATAGGCAAAGATCAATGACATGATGACCTGCGCGCTCATGACCCAGGTTGCGATCCAGCCAATCTTGTGATGAGCGTTGTTCTCATACAAATCGGGGGTCTGGCTGTTGTAGATGATTCCAATAAGCAATCCCACCGCGTTGCATACCAAGAAAAGGAATTGCGACGGCAATGCGAAACGTGACCGTGCGATGCTGAACATGACCGCTGTTATTGCAAGTGTTAGTTTTCGGTGCTTTTGTGGAAAATATGTTAGAATGAGCTATACCTGTTGGCAGAATGAAGCACCAGGCGAGAATCATCAGACCGATGTGAACGGCAATCGCGGTGCCGTGTTTCCCATAGGCGAAGTAGCTCATGGGGGAATCGTCATCTGCCTCTGTAGACGATTCATGGGTGGACTCGCTGTGACTCATGTCCATACCCATGTTCATATCCATCGCTTCATCATCTCCGTGGGGAAGCGCATTCGCAACGGAGGCTAGAAGGAAAGCTGCCGCAAATGCGGCACGGGAAGCTCGCTGCCACATGAGGGGAGGAGCTTCTATATTATTACGGACGGGAAATCCAAAAAAAGAAAAGGGAAAGTATATCTCTTCGACGCGCGACAAACTGGAGTCAAGTGCGAGCAGGAGAGACGACTAAGAGATCAAGCCAACTCCCAGCTCCGCTTGTCGCAAGCAAGATGGCAGAAGAAATTTGTACGGAGGAAGCTGGGATGCGGATGGGCGCGGCTACCACCTGGCGGAGGGCAGTACGTGGGAATACGTCGGGGGGACAGACAGTTCGGTAGGGCTGAAGTATGGAAGCAACGGACGATTGTGGAAGGGAAGGGAGGGCAGGAAGTATAAGTATAAGAATGGGCGAAGAATCCAAGGAAACCCAGCCGACCAACGGTGGACCATACAGGTAAGTAGAGAGACAAGACGGAAGGCTGAAGACCGGGATTGCCAGAGAGGGTCGCGCGAGACTTTTTATTTAATCATTACTCATGACTTAATTTTTTCCTTTTCCATTCGCGCCTTGTGGTCGCAGCTCTCCTTCCTTCGGAGCTGGCGGGGATAGGATGCAACAAGACCGAGAGGCCGTGGAAACAAGCGATCCTGCTGGAGCTCCCCAAAGCTCCGTGTGCCGAAAGTGGAGTTACTCACTGGCACCCTCGCGCTAGCAGGGAAATGGAAAATGGGAAAAAGGAAAAAAAAAAGAAAAGGTAATAAGGCCTCCCAGGAGTGACGCTGTTCACCTCCCCAGTCTGGTTTTTGTTCTGACTGCTGCTTTGTTTGCTTGACCTCTGTCTCCTCTTTTGTTTTCTCTTTTTGCACAGAATAAGGGTAATGATTATTACCAAGATACTCTCGGATTCCATGTTGAGGCTATGCCCATGA